CCAAATTTGTACCACACAGAGAGAAGCTTTGATACACGGCAGTCAGTCCACATAACAGGATGTTCAAGTGAGTCAAGTGAGCCTTACAGGATCCAAAGAAGACAGCCTGCTTTTACATCTCTGTTGATCTTGACAGACTGGAGGCAACAACCGGCCTCACAACAGCTCTGAAGATTATCTCCCAACATGTGAAGCGAGCGCTCTAATTCGAGACTTTCAGGGATTTTGTTCATTCCTTCTTAAATCAGAGGGTGTTGTGTAAAATTCCCACTGTAACATACTTCACCGCACCAGCTTGTCTAGTTTGTCTGCATTTGGGTCCTTGCCCCTGAGTTTCTGGCTTCATTGTGACATATATGAATATATATTAGGGATGTGTGCAATTAGTCAACTAAACGATTAAACATCGCTACCCTCACTAGCCAGCACCAGAGATACTAGACAGTTAAACTAATTATTGATATTCTATTAATGTACAATGCCCGGTAACTGCTGTGTCTGAGGTCTCACACGACCGACTGCCACTAACTGGGGCTGCAGCCAGGCAGACAGCCAGGCAGACAGCAATGCCTGCTTCTTGTAAAACATAGGCCAAAGTTCCACTGATTCTGATTTTTATGAAATGTTCTATTGCCGCCAATAAATCGGTCGACCTCTATCGATTGCATTCGTGTACAATTCTGTCGCGTGCAGTGGAATGTAAGGTCTAAAGTTAGACAAGGAAAACTTAACTTCAGTAATGTTTTATCCTTTTTCTTCAAAGTCGAAGTTCATTCTTTGAGTTTCTCTCTAATTACATGTTGACAGGAGTCAGTGTGTTTTAGAAAAATACAGTCAGACTGCTTTTTCTAATGTTTAGGTGTTCAGAGATACTTGCTAATGTATCAGCCACTTCCTGTTTCCTGGATGCATGAACATACAGAAGATCATCTGGAAAGGAAAAATCAAGTTGCTTCAAAGAGTCTGATTCTGAAGTAATCCACGTTTCCATCCATAGCGCTGAGGCTTTAGCTAATTGTTGTAACATTAACACCCAGTTCATTGGACTATTAATGTCTCACAGTGTAATTTTAGGTCCATAGCCCTCTGAGTGTAGAGCAGAGTTTGACGTAGAGGCCTGAATCCAGGCTTCAAACCAATACAAGTCCAAATGAAAGTGTTTCCTGAACTCACCAGGCTGATGAAATGAAACAAAACGAACCCACCAACTGGTCAGGATATCATAAAGAGCTGCAGTGATATTACTGAGACTATTTGTAGGTCAGGCTCAGTGAGACACACTGTCAGCCACCAGGTTAGAGTCAGGATATCCTGTGTGTTATTTCAGTGATTCCCTCTTGGATATTGCTCTCTTGCAATAAATGCACTCATAATGATTTGAAAAGTGTTCAAATGTCAACTTTGACTCAACATGTAGGTAAAGGTGTGCTACATCGTTATTCTGTATTCCTTTGGTGTGCCTGGAGATAAAGGTCATTTCAGCTGATGGTTGTAAATAAGCATGTTCTGTCTGTCATTCATTTATAACCAGGTCTCCTCTTCCTCTTCCCAGCCCAGTTTCCCTCCTCTTATCACTCTGTGGGTTCTTTGAATTAAGTGTCTCAGACCTTATTACAATGGCAACACATGGCAAAGTCCATCTTGGGAGAGTTTGTGTGTGTGTGTGTGTGTGTGTATTTCAGCTGATGGTTGTAAATAAGCATGTTCTGTCTGTCATTCATTTATAACCAGGTCTCCTCTTCCTCTTCCCAGCCCAGTTTCCCTCCTCTTATCACTCTGTGGGTTCTTTGAATTAAGTGTCTCAGACCTTATTACAATGGCAACACATGGCAAAGTCCATCTTGGGAGAGAGTGTGTGTGTGTGTGTGTGTGTGTGTGTGTGTGTGTGTGTGTGTGTGTGTGTGTGTGTGTGTGTGTGTGTGTGTGTGTGTGTGTGTGTGTGTGTGTGTGCGCATGCGTGCGTGTGTAGCATTAAGTGAGTTAGATAATGAACAAAATGTGATCAGACGACATCATATGCCTAGCTAGGTGCTAAGATGCTAAACTAAAACGGTGAACATGATAAATATTATATAGAGGAAAAAAACATGCTCAACCAAAGACAAAAAAAACAAAAACATGAGGCTGGGATTCGTGGAACCAAAGTCAAAGTGTAACACTGCATTCATACAGAAACCTCCGTTACAGCGAACACTATTAGCAGGAAAGAAAGAAAGGGACGCTAACAACTTTCAATTCGCTGAATCCACTGGATTTGAGTTAAATCAGTGAATTTATTTAAATGTTAACACATTGTTGCTTTGCAGCCATTTTACAAGTTTGTTGATGCTTCTGTCGTTCTTCTCACTAAGTGAGGGCTCTCCTCTCACCAATGCAGTGTCAGCCTCATGGAGCTGCAGCACGGCTGAAAACTCCTCCTGTTCTCACTAACTAGCCACCCAGAATGTTAGCAATTAGCATGTTAGCATAAAAATTTCGGAGAAAAACAGCCCTGAAAATGAAAATGGTTTGATTTTCATCGTGAAACTTTCTGTTAGAAAATCACTGCAGCTTAGTGGATAAAAACAAATGTCTCCATAACCATGTGACTGACTAGTTCCTTGTGTTCAAGACAGAAGCTTGAGGCAGTTGGAAGTCTTTTCCTGTCCTCTTCTGTGTTTACTGACCCGTCACTGTGGGAAACTGAAGGAAGTATCGTTGGTTACACTACGTGACCCTGGCCGTGCATTATGTGAACCTGTCTGACAGGTTTGGAGGGGTTCATGTTATCCCTTCACTCCTGTGGGAAGGGCAGTATAATAGAGTTTCTTCACCCTCCCTCAGTGTCAGTTGCCACCCTTTGTTGTGGATGGAAGCAGCGTCTGTGTTCACACAGGGAACAGAGTGATGCTGTGTTTGTCTGACGGTCATGTCCCGCTCTCAGCACTTTGTTGTTGACAGGAGAGGTCCCCCCCCCCCCCCCAACCCCAACCCCATCACCGCATCCAGACCCCTGCTCGCTGTTTCTTTTATTTTTCTGCTGATCTCTCTCATCTCTCTTTTTACTGATTACTCCATTCTCTCTCTTCCCTGGTGTTTACACCGTCTCTCTCCGTCTGTCTTTGTCTCCGTCTCCTGCCCCTCTTGTCTGTCCGTTCTCCTGTTTCTCCGCAGTGAGAGCTGCTGATCGAGGAGTTTCAGTCCTCTTGGGTGTCATTACTGACATCTGAGCTGAGAGAGAGAGCTTTTTTCTGTCACACACACACACACGTACACACACACACACATGCACACACAGACAAACATATACTGCATTCCCTAACCCCTTACCCTAACCTAAACCTGATTCTAACCTTGACGCAGTAACACATTAGATGTGATGAGTAGAAGATCGTTGAAAGACTGAGACTGACGTGTTCAGACCTGGTATTAACACCTGTCTGGTGATCTGATCTCAAGTGTGACTGAAAATATTTAATATTTCAAATGGCTAAAACCTCATGTCACTCTGTCTCTCTCTCTCTCTCTCTGTCTGTCTCTGTCTCTGTCTCTGTCTCGTTTTAATGCCAGGTCTGAATAGGGCTTTAGTTATGCCAATGCCTTGATGGGATTTCTTCAAATTTGGCACAAATGTTCACTTGGACTCAAGTATAAGGTGATTCGATTTTGGCGGTCAAAGGTCAAGGTCACGGTGACCTCACAAAACACGATTTTGACATCCTGAACGTGGTGTCTCTCGAAATTTGTTAAGATTTGGCACAAACATTCACTTGGACTCAAAGATGAGCTGATTAGATTTTGGTGGTCAAAGGTTAAAGGTCATGGTCACAGTGACCTCACAAAACATGTTTTTTGACCATAACTCACAAATTCATTAATTTTAAGGTAAACACAAGAAACTTGTGCTACAGAACACAGTTTAATTCAAATGTCTATAAGGATAAAATGAAGTGGTGACACACAAGATCAAAGGTCAGCTTCATCATAATGTTCTGCAAAAACACCTCTGGTCATTATTCAACACTGTAACTCAGGAAGGAGAGACTGAGGCCATATTTCCTGCACCCTGGCTGGTTGGTGGAGGAAACAACCAGGAGGTGGAGATTCTAGTTTTTATTGTTGCTGTAAAGTTCACAGTCATCACTGTTAGTGGCACAAATATTGTGCTTCCTCAAACAACTTGATGATTAATCACCTGGTTGGAAGCATTTTTGATTTTTGTTTAAAGCTGCCTCACTGTTCTAAATTATATCTACAGTATGTGTAACGAACTCCAGTCACAGACAAATCAAACTGTATGAAGTTTAAATCTATTTTCTTAACAGTCCCACAGAGAGTGCTGAGAGCTTTATGTTCCATCGGAGGAGCAGTAACCTTAGTTAGCACCTGTTTCATCTCTCTGCTGTTGGGATCTGCCAAAATGAACACATTCATATGAAACATATTTACAGAAAAAAAAGAACCAGTTCTTCAAGAAATATTAACAAGGCTATAACTGCCTTTGCAGATTCAGGAGAAGTTAACTTTGACTGACAAAAGATGGATGAGACTAGCTCGATATCAACAACATCTTCTCTACACAAAGATAAATAAACTGTTTAATGGAAAAAAACAAAAACCTGTCACTTTAAAAGCTGGGAAGTTATGAATCATTCAAAACAATTTCAGTTTTGGTCAGTCCCATATTTAATCAAAATTAATAATAACATGAAAAACCCTGTGGCATAACTGGGAAGAGGATATATGACTGCTTGTCATCTTTTTATGTTTGATTTTTATAATGTTTATGTTCAGGCTTTGGCTGCATGTTTTTTTGTTTGTTTGTTTGTTTGTTTGTTTTTTTTATCAAAATGTCCCCCAAAAAAAGTTGATTTCTGTGCTGTCTAGCAGTGGACAAATTTAGTTTCAGAAGAATTGTCATTTAGAAAGTGTCATAGAAATTATTTGGATGGAAAACTAAAAAAATACCCTTTAAGTAAAATTAAAGGTCCTAAATGAGTTTTGTGTCTTTGTCTCTTCAGATGACGCTGACGGGACTCCTCCTCCACCCTCTGCAGAGCGTCAGGCCAGACAGGTACAGAGAAACAAACACTTCACTGTTTGAATGGTGACAGAAAACAAGAATTGACTTCAGGTATCAGCTGTCATCAGACCTTTACTTACCACATAAGGATCCATGCCTCCATGCTGGCAGCCAGAGCGTGAGGCATATTGTTTTCAGGTTGTCCGTCTGTCCCGTTCTCGTGGACACGATATCTCAGCATCGCCTCGATGGAACTTCTTCAATTTGGTTCAAACACTCACAGTGGCTGTGTCTGAAATCACTCACTACTCCCTACAGAGTCCACTATATAGTGAGTTCGCCATTTTGTAGAGCTGTCTGGATGTTTAGTGAGTATTATTATACCCTATATAGTGGACTCATAGTATCCCTGAAGGCATTGTGAAAAGTAGTGTACAACCGATGGTCACTAACCAAGCAATAAAGACCATCATGCATTGCACTCACGCTGAAAGAAAGAACAACAGAGTGTCCCAAAGTGTTTTTCCATTTTACAGACGAGGTCACTATATAGTCCTCTACGTAGAACTCCCTGGAGCGTGAGGAGGGAGGAGTGAATGAGTGAGCGATTTCAGACACAACCTTGGACTCAAGGATGAACTAATTTGATTTTGGGGGTCAAAGGTCATGAGTGTGGTGACCACACAAACACAGTTTTGGCCTTGTGAATGCGATATCTCCAGAACTCCTCAAGGGAATTTCTTCAAATTGAGGATGAACGTGTTAGACTTTGGTGGTCAAAGGTCAAGGTCACAGTGCCCTCAGAAAACACTTTTTAACTATAATTCAAGACTTAACATATAAATTATGACACAATCTGACACAAATGGATCATATTTTATATGACTCTGGATAAACAGGGATGTAACCATGAGGAGGTGATTCTAGTTTTTCTAGGTGACAGTTTTGGAACAATATGCTTGACCTTTTCTAGAGATGTCTCTGCCATCATCTTCCTCCTCTTGGTATATTGTAAATTTCACGTTGTCTTCGTTATCTCTCACTCACTGTTGAGGGTGGGAGGTGATGACCTCTGCCAGCACTCCAAAATTTGCTGTACTGTATGTACACAAAATCCCATTGAAGTTTGGCCACCTTCACTTAAATGTCTTCAACACAGTCACAGGATCAGCTGAGTTGATGAGTCAGATACAACATGAACAGTGTTTTCCATGATCTTAATGTTTTGTCTGAGGGGATTGTTTGTTTTTAGGCTGGATTTGAACTCAGTGTGGGGAATGTTGTTGTTGAAGGACACCTAACTGTCTTGCTGTTCTTCTTCTCCTCCTTATCCATCCCTTCAGCTGGTCCAGTCGCTGGGCGTGGCCATCTACCAAGCTCTGGACTGGGGGCTGGACGACAGCGAGGAGCGGGAGCTCAGTCCACAGCTGGAGCGCCTCATCGAACGCATGGCTGGGGGGGAGCAGAGCGGAGAGGGCGACAGCACTGCCGGCAATGGCGCAACAGATGAGGGGTACAGCGGGCAGGAAGAGGAGGAGGAACTAGAGGAGGAGCAGGAGGGAGTGATAAGGCCGATGTGTACGTTCCACCAGGTGATGGCGATGTGTGCGTCTCGTCTGGCCAACCCAAGCCTGGCTCCAGAGCACTACCAGGCCGTCTGCAGAGCTCTGTTTGTAGAGACTCTAGAGCTGCAGACCTTCCTCATCAAGATCAGAGATGCTAAGGAGGTATGTGAGACTGTCGTGTCAGCGTTAACGCAACCCTTCAAAGAAAGAAAAAAAGAATGCCAGCTGAATTTTGTAGCAAAATTAACTGATAACATTCAGGGAAAGAATACATGAAAATACACACGGGGCCTGGTTTTCACGTATATACTTGACTGCTGCTGCCTCCAGTGGCCTGCACCTCGCTCTCTGAATTTGAAGTCTTTACAATCCATCTACATTGATATTCCTGTTTACATGCTACAGAGCAGAGACTGATAAATGACTGAAGAAAGCACCTCCACAGTTTCCCTCCAGTACTCAAACTCAAATCTTCCTCTCTTGTGCCCCTGCAGAGGTTTACCACTGTTGAACAGAAACACTGTGCAGGAAGCTGCTCTTCTTACATGAGTGTATGCAGATGGCAGTCACTGTCTTTTACCAGACTCAAAAAGACCTCTGGAGACTCATACTGTGACTGAAATGTATGAATGCTCCACAGTTATTCAGTTATATAGTTATCATTTAGGTTAAGAAGGATTTTTCTCATTTATTACAACCTGGGTCTTATTTCTACAGTTTTGGCTGTTGCTTTCATCAGTAGTGATTATTTTGTATTCGCCAAGTTAAAGGTGAATTTTCTTGTAAACAAACAGTTCTGTTTTCATTCAGTGTTTATCACCAAAACTCACTGTGTGTCTGACAAACATGTTGAATTCCCCTCCTTCTGAAACACCCACAAAACTGATTATTGGACTTCTTTAAAGTCCACGTTGTTTAAATCAGTCTTCTTCTTCTCCTCTGCCTTCACTGGTGCATTGCTGCATTGTACACATGAAGCTGTCAGCAGGAATGTGTACTGCATTTGCCTCACACAATAGGTGTGCATTTATGTGCATGTGACATAAACAAAATCAGGATGCTCCATTGCTCTTTAATAGCTTTAATTGCTGAACTCTAGAAAGAAAGAAACATATCAGATCAGACAGGTTATCAACAAACAAACCCCCAGTTTACTTTGATTCATTTGAAAATGAAAATAAAAGTAAATGCAAAATCAGGACACAACTGTGTGACGTAAATATCCAGCACAGTTTGCAGCCCGATCTCTAGACTCAAGTTTGACCTACAGTCCTTTGACCTCCAGTCTCCACAGTTTGTCCGTGCAGTAAAGGGTTATTAACAGTGACACATTTGCTCTCAGTTTTGGTCTGTAGTTCTGTATGAAGTTGTAGCTGATCTGTGTAAACCTGTTGGCATGTTTAGAAACTGATCATCTGACCGCTCGTGGCTGATGCCTATGGGACATGTTTCAGTGATGTCACCACCTCCCAAGATCTCAGCAATTACTTCGGTGATTACAGTGTTCTCACGGACAGTTCTGACAGAACAGATGGCCATAGCTGTGAAAATAAAGCCCAAGTCATAATAAACTATAGTTTTCCTTTTAACACCCACAGGTTAGCCAAACTTAATATGAAGAACCTGGACTCATCATACTTGCTGTAGTTGTATGTGCATGTGGTTTTCCACATGTATTAGGACGCCCTCACTTTTATTTATTTCTTTCACCTCCAAATAGTCTTGTTCAGTGTTGAGCCATTCAGGTTAAGGCCACGATGTACACGACAGATTCTGGGAGACGGGGTGAAGGCATACGACTGAGTATCAGGGCCACATTGAGGAAAAAAAAGAAATCTGAGAATAAAGTCGTAATATTGTGAGAATTACAAATGTAAAATTTCGAGAGAGAAAAAACCCATAATTTTTAGGAATATTACATCAACCAATCAAACAGGTGAAAGGACAGTCAGTGTCAGCCTGAGCTGCTTCTGGCAGCTGCTGTTTGTCTCTCTAACTATAGAATAGACTCAGTTTCTTCACAATGTCCTGATGCTGATGCTGATGATGATGATGATGCTGATGATGATGATGATGATGATGATGATGATGATGATGATGATGAAAAGATAAAGTTGTTCATTATTTGTGAAACCTAAAGTAGAACTTCACAGGATGCTTCATGTTCCTCATTTTAAAGCTTCTGATATTTCCCCTCTAAAACATCATGATACCTAAAATTACACTTTTTTCTCATTATATTTTGACTTTTCTCTCAAAATATGAGATTTCTTTTCCTCAGTGTGGCTCTAATACTCCGTCATAAAAGAAACACATAGACAAGACATGAACATAAACTTATGCCATCAGAATAATTTGAAATACTGACATAAAAATTGTACACAAAGGGTTTTAACATGAGAATACTGCAGTCTATTGAAAGTTATTGAAAATAACCCTTTGGGTTTTGCACCAGTGTTTGTAGTGTTACTGTTGTCAGTGCATAAGCTTGTTATTGTAAAAAAAAAAAAAAAAAAATAGCAAATGTATTTCTTGCCTGTTGGTGCACAGATGCTGAAGAAGATCACAAAAGATGAAGCTCTGGAAGACAGGTCTACAGCTGAACTAGACGCACTGAAACACAGAGACTGGGTGAGTTGAAACGAGCGAGAGCACAGTGTGACGGGGAGAACAATGCAACAGTGCGTGTGGCTGGAGTAACTAGTGTTGTCACATGCAGATGTGTATTGTTGTTTCCATCGCAGGCGCGTCTGTGGGTGCAGCTGATGAAGGAGCTCAGGCAGGGCGTGAAGCTGAAGAAGGTGCAGGAGCAGCCGTTCAACCCACTGCCCACAGAGTTCAGCCTCACCCCCTTTGAGATGCTGATGCAGGACATACGAGCGCGCAAGTTCCAGCTACGTAAAGTCATGGTGAGAGACGAGCCCCTAGTTTTAAAAAATCAATCTAATCATTAAGACAAGATGAGCCATTTAAATTGATAGATGTAGATGAAGTGATGGAGATAGAGGAAGTGTTTGTGCTGTAAATAAGCAGAGTCAGAGTCAGAGTATAAAGTGTCAGTGAACTTGTTGATGCTGCAAGTCGTTGAAATGTCACTTGCAGAGGAATGAGTCAAACCGTCACATGTCTTGAGGAAGAAAATATCATGAAATCTTTTCCTTCTCTGAAATCTCAGCCCTGATAGAAATGTCATATCATCATCATCGCCTGACTTTGTTGTAATGGGGCATGTGGACAGACAGGAGTGAGACTGTGACTCCAGTTTGTCATTTAAAGACCTTAAAGCCACCGTCATTGCACCATGTACTCTACAGGCTCTGTTACAGTAAGAAGCTGTTGTTTAGCAGGCACACACGTGGCAGAGTCACTCTGAGGCCTGGTCCAGGGGCAGATACATAATTCAGACTCACAACACAAATATTAATGAAGGCTTCTCTGCCGTCTGTTGTTCTGGCAGCTGTTGCAGTTCATTTCCACAGAGGGTGGAGCCACTGTGACTGGGTATTAATATTGTTATGCAGTGCTTCTACATTGAAATCATTTCATACAGTCACATACAACATTTCTAATATTCTGCAAAGAGCATCATTTCATATTATCATGTATTGTATTAGAATGGTACACTATTTTGCAGTTGCTATCATTAGTATGGTTTTATTGCATTTTTTATTTACTCCTCCACACAGGCATCATTTACTTTGGCATGGATGTTTAGCTATACCATCACTAGAGGGCAGCCCAGAGTTTTACACAGTAACAAACATGGCAAAAGTGGAGGAGGTCGTAATAATGTACTTGTTAAGAAAGAGTAAGTTTTGTTTTCAAATAATAAATCATTCTTTCCTGCTTTGGTCATAGAAATTTAAAAATATATATCCACCAATTCTAGATTTACTAGAATTTTTTTTCTTCTTTTTTTTCTCCTTTGGTTATATACTATATATTTGTCTATACATCTGCTTATTCTGGTGAAACTATTTACCTATTTACACTGTTCATGCTTGTTCATATATATATATATATATATATATATAATGTTCCTATACATTTTCAACAAAAAGGGAAAAACAGTAGGAAACAGTGTAGATGGCGACGGTCTGTCAGGCCTTTGAACACGTTACATAACCTCTCCTCAAATAGTTTTGCCATTTTTGAAATTTCTTCATCGTGTCCTTCGGTCGTGTCTCGATTGAACTACTGGCTACACTGCCCCCATGATTTCCAGTTGTACTGCTCCATTTTGTCCATACCTCCACAGTTCCAGAAAATGTTCACAAACACGAACAAAATGAAATGAAGTTAAGACAGAAGGCCCCGTCCGTATCCATACATCCGTCTGTAATGTTGAGCACGACTGAGCCTTTACAGTACATGAAGCCCCTCACTGCAGCTGTGTGTATGATTAACAAAGTGCTACACTTCGTGTTGTGTTTGTTGTCTTACCCAGGTGGATGGAGACATTCCTACCAGAGTGAAGAGAAATGCCCATGAACTGATTTTGGACTTCATCAGATCAAGACCTCCACTTAAACCGGTGAGTGGCTTTAGCTTGAATAGAGGTTCACTACAGCTGAAAACCACCCAGTGTGTATCATAGCAACGCAGTAAAGAATTCTCTATATAATAACTAGGCTTAAAAACTAAGGCATAAATAAGTGGCGTTCTCTATAAATGTAGCTTAATGATGTTAATGTGACAGTTAACTCTTTGTATTGCTAACATTAGATCTCCCTCATACACAGTATTTAGCAATTGCTAATACATGTGTATATATCACTAGCTGGCCAGCTCTGTTAACCCATTTTAAATCTCCCTTAAAAATGCACAATTTTGGAATTGCATTCTCTTGAACTGACTCTAATTGATAATTGATACATTACAATACTGCTACCCTCAATGCATACTAATATTAGCTCCATATACATATAATACTGAAACAAAGACTGTACAGAGACTATATAATCTAAACCTGACCTGATATATATTTGGATATTATTGCCTGATGAGTCACGATAAGAATAACTGGACCATAGAGCTTCTAGCTGGTGTGCACATCAGAACACATGGATCCAAGAGCCATTTAACCATTTATTGGGTGAGGAGTTAGGCAAGGAAGGGATGGATGGATGGATAGATGGATGAACAGATGGATGAACAGATGGATGAACAGATGGATGGACAGATGGATGGATGGAAAGTCAAAGTCAATGAATTGCAGGACATACCATAACAAATACTAAAGGAAGAAATCTTTAAATCACTTTGTCTGGATTCTGTTTATCCTGTTTACAGAAAACATAATTACATACAAGATACAAAGTGATATGCTTCCTCTACTAAATTAAAACAATTTGCCTTACTTACACTTATCTCAAATAAAATATACTAAATGACTCCAACACATGATATGCTTCCTCAAAGGTAGGTACCAAACAGCTTCATCTATTTCTGAATCTGTTAAGATACAAATACACGGTTAAATACAAATTCATTGTATGTAAACATAACTTGAAGGAAAACGAAATAAACGATAGGAACCTTAAACAATGGCTAATTATTTCAAACAACTTATAGGTATGGCAGCATGGTTTCAAACAAAGGGGTCTGTAGAGAACACACCCAGTGATCTCCTCCCTTGTGCTCTAACCCAGCCTCACAGAGCTCACTCTGGAGCTTGAGATTCTTCAAATACATTACATATAATACCTACCCAGAGATTTTGTAAAAACAGTTTGTTTACCTAGAATAACTCTAGCGTTTTATTTTGTCCTGTGATCTGATGTACCTGTACATCTACTTCACAGGTATTTTATCAGAGTTAAACCAGTTTATCAGGGCTTTTATTTTGTATATCTGTCAAACAGCGGTTTTCACCAATGATATCATGGCTTTAACCCTAACCCTCAAACTGAATTACTAGAGTTTTAACTCTCATTATTACTAGAACTACATGTTATTCTGAGTTTCACTGGAGAGTTTTTGAATGGTTGTATTATATACAATGTGTATAAACCTTTTTCATCCATACATGTATGTACATATTTTGTCCTCAATGGCACCAAGGGGAGAACATTTTTTTTGTCATCTCTTTTTTATATCTTTTATATTTCTCAGAAGTATGGACCCTCTCATTATTTCTCCTCATTAGGCTACAGAGCGCAGCCTCCCCCCTCCTCCCCCGCAGCAGCAGTCCCTCCATGACCAGGTCCTGGCTGAGATCAAGCAGGAGAGGAAGCTCAGGCCGGTGGTCCTTCCCAGCTCCAGACGTAAGGGACTATCATTCACCACTGTTTTGTTTACCCCAATAATCCTAAATTAAAGCCCCTCACCAAAGGTCAAATCACAAGTTTATGTAAAATATCATGAATTTGCTCATTTTAATGATGTCCTCAAGAAAATCCATAACAAGAAATTCTTATGTATTACATAGATCTGCATTTATAAATGACAAAGCTTTATTTGTTTTGCACTTGACCTGTGCTCAGAATCAAAAGCAGACCTTGTTTTGTTTCCACCAGACAGACACTGAAGTTCTTATGAGATGGTCGTATATTATATTTGTCAACATTTGTCAACATAAAAAACAGTTGGATGGTGTCTGGTGAGAAGTATTGTGGAGATATTAAAAGATGTAAAAGAAAAGGTCTGGTAGCTGCTCTTGTCATCATACTTTATGTTTGGATTTGTCTGTGTCTCTATGTAAAGTCACTGCATGAGTGTCAGTGTGACCGGACCACACACTCAGTTAAACGATGACTTCAGGGCTGACGCTCTGCCCTGTACACTCTGTACAGTAGCCTGCGAGGGTCAGTTTGTACTGCATACAGGTTTGTAAGCTGTAGTGTGTAACAAGAGTATTTTTTCCATGTGGAGCTACAGCATATGTGGAGGTGGTGTTGCATTTCATAAATATTGACCTGCTATTTACAGATCAAGGTCAGAGTAAGTCAGCGTGGAGGCTGCTGATGAAGGAGCCATATTTTCCAGAGGATGAAATCTGAACTTAACAATCTGCTGTTTAAAACTGCTGTGGTTGATTTATGCAAACAAGGAAGCACATCTCTGAAAATAAATTATAAGCAACATTATCACTGCAACATGTGTAGTAGAGTGACCTAATGGTCAGAGGGACTGGCTCTCAACTAAGAAGCGTCTGATCTGTCCCATGAGTCAGGCACTGGATCCTCAACAGCTGTTTCACAGTCTGGGTGGTTAAAAACAATCAAAAATTACACAGTGAATTAAATTTGTAGTTGAAACCATTGTCGAACAGTTGAATCAATCACAGACTGGTGACATCAGCAAAGTGAGTGTTTCTAAAATCCGAAACCACATATCCAATGAAATCTGTTTCTTATGCCTGGAACACACTGCCTGAGTTGCATGTGTGTGGCAGCTGATGTCGCTGAGCTGTGTTCACACAGTAAATAGAGTTTGCAGGTTACTGAAATGTTGGATTTGTTTTCATTATAAATTAATTTCTTATTTGTTTTTGACAGAGAACATCACTAAAGTCTATATATAGATATATATATACATATTTCTATAATTTTTTTATGTTTGTATCACACTCAGGTTCAGCCTAGACAGACAATTGTAGTGGAAGGAGTCAGTTTTATGTAATGCTGCTGGTGTGATATCGCTATGACATCAACAAGTCTTTTCTCTGTCTATTTCACGCGTGAGATTACGCAAGGCAGATGCGAGGCATGAGACATGCATGTAGTGTGTCCGCTCTAACCCGTTAACATCGCCAAAATGAAACCCAAGACTTACGGCAGCCGCAACGCACACGCCACGCACACGCCACGCACACGCCACGCACACACCACGCACACGCCACGCACACACCACGCACACGCCATGCAGCTAGTGTGTTCCTGGCCTTACTGTCTCTGCCCCTCTCCTTGGCAACTTTTACTGAAGGAGATATGTTTTCTTTTCTTTTCTTTTCTTTTCTTTTCTTTTCTTTGCCTGTACATTATGTCATTGTAATTTTTGCCACTTTGCAGCAGCAGAACAAGCTGAAAACACAACAATGACGTGGTTATGGTGAACATGCTAGCAAACGATTGCTGGTTTACACATTCCAGCATTCTCCTAACATGCCAGTAAACAAGTGCATCAGCGTTTATTTGCAGCTGTTTCTGGCCACCAGTGTACACCGGGTTCATCAGAGCTGTTGGAAACGAGCTTGATGAATGAGGTGAGACTGACGCAAAACTGCAGATTTGTGGAGCATAAAACCAAATCAATGAGCTGAAAGATGCTAAAGAACTGTGTGGAAGTGAGTGAGTGGAACTGCAGAGTGGGCTCACAATTCTCTGTCAGGTTTTTACTATGAACAACCTGTTTCACATTACACAGAATCACCTCCTCCATTGTTCTGTTTGTACTGGACTCGCTTCTGTCCGATTTGTGCTGCAAATCAACACAGAACATTCTGCTCCTGACACGACTCAGTGTCTCACAATAACAATAAATTCAGTGGCAAAGCGACAGTGGAACTGCAGCTCCTCTTGTTGGTTTACAGCAATTACACCCACGTCTAAAAATGGGTGTAGTTCTGAGTCAGTGATGTTAAAATGCTGCACACAGTACATCTTACATGTTGAGTCACTGCCTTCTGATCTCAGTGCATCTTGCGTGTTTCCTCCCTGACAGTGTTTTGGTTTCTCTCCCCTCAGCATTTGGCTCTCTCCCCTGCCTGGCTCAGACCTGTCCCTGTAACGTCAAATCTACTTCGTGCATCGACCTGTCCATGTCAGAGCCCGGGCCCCGGCCGCCGTCCCGCCCTCGCATCCTGCTCAAGGCCCCGACCCTGGCAGAGATGGAGGAGATGAACATATCTGAGGTGAGGCCAGGCAGGAGCTCCAACACTGAAGTCTTGGAGGGGAAAATAAAAGGAATCATTGTTGCTGTCTCTGAGGGCTGGCTGGTGTTCTTCACAGGAGCACATGCACTGATTTCCCAGCATAAGTGGGTTAAAATGCCTCTGTGCAGTTGCAGGATAGCACAGAGGGTAGAAAGTGAAACAATGGTTTGAATGAATCCTCTTCTGTCAACATCTGGGGAAATCTTCTTCTTGTCTTGTTGCTGTTCATTCTGGTTTCTTTTTCACCTCAGTTTCACATTTATAGACTTTTTCTATGTGCTATGAGCCGTATTCAGGTTAGAAAGGGTGGCATGGGTATTGTTCATCTTCTCTTCTTCTCTTCTACTTTGTTCATCCTTTGAATTACATATTATATGGAGATCTGCTGAAACACTGAGTCTCTCACAGGAGTTTAAGCCTCCTCCGTCACCAGCAGGCTCTTTACATCCAGTAGAAGTGTCCATGGCCAGTGGACCACGATGAAACCTGTGTCCAGCAGCACAGAGTCAGAGCTACTGCAGAATGAACCAGTTCAAAGCAGATGAGAGTCTAAGTTGGAGTATAATGAATAATGGAGCTTAGATGTTTCCCTCTGTCAGTTGAACAGGAAAGGGAATCAAGTCGGAAAAATTTTAAATCAGGCTTATTTTCAAGAAATTCTGTTTGTAAGTCTGACTTAAGTTACCATGGGAACTTATCCCTGCAGACGAGCCTGATTCTGGTTGTGTCAGATTCAGGCTGAGCTCCACTGAACACGAGTCACTTTTCTGTATTTGTCAAATTCATCACATTTTAACACGAACTGCATTTGTCTTCTTCAGTGTGTGTATCTGTGTATCTGCACAGTATTCCAGTTAACATGTTTTTAAATCCACTCCAATTTAAATAAAGCCAATGAACTGTTATGACCCATGGCTGTAGCATCACAGTGAGAAATATTTTCACCTCTCCTTAAATTTTACTTTGATAGAAATGAAAGAAATAGACGCCTCCTGTCACATTATTGATATTATTTACCAGACATACAGACAGTATTTCCACAATATAGAGACACTGTGTACAACCCAAATAACTTAATCCAACTGACTAGAAATCTTTTTTTTTTTTTTTTGTGTCACTTGTCTTTTTTGATTTTAAACATTATACAACACTTTTCCAGAATAGTAAAATGCCAGTTTTTTAATTTTGTTGCTATAAAATGAACAACTTATCAGGGCTCCTGTTTGATATTTGAAGGTTATTGAGTTATGTACATTGATTTCCAAAAAAAATCACATTACCCAAATAGGAATTGAAGCCGCAACGTCATGATTACAGCAGAGCAAAGCGACAGACTGAGAGAACCGAGGAGTTCAGTTCTGGGTTCATCTTCACTTACGTCAGAGTCTGAGCTCACTGCTGCTATACGTTTAAAAAAACATCCCAGTTTTGTCTTGTATGTTTTCTGTAATGTGAATTGATGTGAACTGTGTTGAATGCTTCAGGTGTTTTAAAGTCATGAAAAAAATAGGATTGACTTGGATTGATTTTTCACATCAGCTCTGACTTGGCTCCATAAAACCGTTTCATTCTGGTTCAGTTTGTTAGGTTAGTTCAAGACAGACTTCACCCACTGTACCTTTCAAGCTTAGTCCACACTATACATTTGCCAGATGACATTTCTTTATGTACACATTTTGTGTGCTGCCTTCTGTCCATCACTTCACCTTCTCTCTTTTTCTCCTCCACCTCCAACTCCTCCTAATCCTCTTCCTTCTCCACCCTGAACCCTTCCTCTGTCTCTTCGACCTCCATCCCACCACAGGAGGAGGAGTCCCCAGACAACGGGGAGCTGAGGAGGGCAGAGAGCTCCCCCATGCCTCTGAAAAGGGATCGCTCCTTCTCGGAGCATGACCTGGCCTTGCTCCGTGGAGAGATGCTTCCTTCGCTCTCTGAGTCGGTGCAGCTGGACGGCGCGGTGAGGCTGAGGGGCGAGAGGCCGCGGTCCCGGACACTGACCAGCAGCGGGCCGCCTCCTTATCACAGAGGTCAGTGTGTAAATGTAGGCGGGGTGTGTGGAATGAAACACAAGTGTCACCAATAACATTATAAAATGCTTGCTTTTCAGTAACGAAGAGATCATCACCGTCATTAGACTTACCTGTGCTTTTCCTGCCGTGTCAAATCCGAATGTCTGAAGACCTATGAATGATTCATTTAGGTACAATACAGAGCTGTGATTTTAGCGAGGCTGTCAACAGTCAGCTCAGAAACATTTAAAGCACAATATGGAGATGTTTCATGTTTCTGATGTTTCATCAAGCAAACATGTCTATCAAATCCTAGAAATGATGAAGCTTATCCTGTTTGTGTCTTTTGTGTTTAAACATCCGGCAGTTAAAGAAAAGTTTAACTTGCTCACCAGAAACCAGAGTTCATGTTGTGGTTAATGTTGTTTGAATCAAATCCTGGGACCGGTTTCACCGAGATATTTCAGACTGGTCTGTAGTGTTGACTAATTTTAAGCCAAAAATATTAGACATCTTCACAATCAAAGACACCTGCTTTAACCAGCACCCAACAACAAAAAACAGGAAAACATGGCTCATAATGTGCGTTGTTATGGAGAGAGCAAAGGGAAGGGAAAGAGTTTTTAGAGACTGCAGACATTTATTTTTTCCAAATCAGATTTTTCTTTTTATTGTTACACACTTTATACACTCCTGTAACTGTTGAATTCTTCCTACAGGCAAATATTTTCTGCTGGGGTAAACAGAGCTGAGCGCTTACATGTGGTTCCTTGGTCAGCCGTTCTTTTTATATTGAAAAAACTTTAATTTACCCAGAATTCATTGTACCACAGTCCGGCTTAAGATAGTTAAGCACTAAACTGCTTCGTGCACCAGATGAATTCAGACTCAGTCTATCTGAAGTCTGACTGTTGGTTATATCTAACACACAGTCACAGTCTGAAACGGGCTCCTGTTGTTTCTAGTCTCCTCTCTGTTGTTGAGGTGACTATTGAAAATAGATTTATGATATAATAGATTATAACATAAATTGGATTATAAATGAACACATGGTAGCGTTACTGACACTAAAAACATATCAGTTGTCATATTAGGCTCATGGCCTAAACTTCCACCTAATGTCATTGAAACACTGGAAATAAGTAATTAATAATTAGAGATTTGTCAGTGTGGGGCAGAATGCTGGAGAGCAGCAGGTTGTGGTGTGTTCACAATCAATGAAGCCAAACAGCTGGACAAGAGTTAGGCATGAGTGTTTTTACATTGCTTCTCAACCAGGGTTCACTGACATTCAACAATCTGCTGTCTAATTAATTCATTGGTTATGAAATGGTTTCCTATTTGGCTGAGAGAAAGATAATTGATGACATCAGCTGCTGTAGTGTTAGTTTGCAGTGAAAAGCTGCTCACTCTGTGGCAGAAGATTCACATCGGCTGCAGTTTGAATGATGTTCCCACAGAGGGAGACACAGTGCTAGTTATACTACAGTGCAGCCTGTGGTTTCCACACTCTTCATCTATGTGTTGATGAACTGAAGACTTTGATCTTTTGGCCATGAGCTGATATCAAGCCCAAGCCCCCACAAACTGAGGGCGCACAGATCATCGATACCAAAGTCTGGACAGCGTTTTAAAGTTTCCAGCTCTCCTGCCTCGAGGCCTGGAAGGAAAACAGAAGTGTAGTAACTAGAGGGTCATGACAAAACCCATCAACTGCTTACGTCTACTGCTAAAAATGAAACACAGGCCCTTTCCAAACCCCCCTTCTAATTATAGAACTTCTATTCAATTGGAAGTAAAATATTTTTTAAGGGTTTTGTTTCAACCTTGAAGGCCATATAATGATCCTGTGGTTGTGGAGACTTTGTGTCCTCACTGCCTCCAATCTATCCTCGGTTATCCCTCAAGCAGTAACCTCATTAAATTACTGTTCCCTCACTGAAATAAGAGCTGAATTGTGTGTCAGTCCACCACGGTGAAACTCTCCCAGCCCTGGCTGACGGGGGGGTTGACAGGGATTACATCTGCTATGAAGCTATTAGGAAAGTTGGGATGGATTCTAATCAAATATAAAGATGTGCTGATAAAGTCAAACTGAGGGGGAAGGAGAGTAGAAGCTAATGGGTCTGAGTTGTGTAGTGCATGTAAACCACAGGGAGGATGATATGTTCGATGGCCATGGTTCATGCATTAGCCGCATCGTCGTCCATTTTCAGAGGTAATTGTTTGAAAAAGGATCCTGATTCAATCCGTTCTCAGTCTCTAGATCCACACTGCTGCATGCCACAGCCGGCAGGCAAACCCGAATAATAGCTGCACGGACATTTGTTGTGTAGTGCATGACTCTGCCAACAGGAGACTCTCCAGCCTGAACTGTGTGAATGTGAGGATGCAGTCCCGTAAGCCCCAGCTGTCATCGGCAGCTGATACAAACGATATGTACCAATGACGTTTGCCGGCCTGTTGCAGCCTTCCTCTCTGCCTGTTTACTTTCCATTAGAGACAAATTGACACCCTCCATTTGAAGGATCAAAGAGGCACCCAGTTTGAGCTCTGTGTGGTTGGGGTTTAACCCTCTCCTGCCTGAGCCACTGGGCGGACCTCTCAGTGTGATCTAAGTTACAGATGTAGCAGCACGGGCTGAATCACTCCACTGAAATGAGATGAATAATACATGACAGTGTTGGAGTCGATAGACAAACACTCTGATGGGCTGAGATCTGAGATGGGCCTAAATGAAAGAGGCTGCTGTGTAATTCATGGACTTGTTAGACTGGGATTTGTGGCTTTCTCTCATTCACTTACTGATGCTGTCCTCATTCGATTCAGTCCGATTTAGTTCCCCCTGAAAAAACTTGCATCATTTCCTCTCTCTCTTCCACTTCTCATCCATTTCCACATCCCAGCCTCCTTCCCAGTCACCGGCTGGGTACCATCCTCTCCGGCCCGCCTGTCCCTGAGTTCAGTTGACGAGACCATAGAGGGGTCAGACACGGCGTCAGGCTCCAGAGCTGGAGACGAGCACCAGTGGATGGTGAGTTAGAACCACAGCAGCATGAGAGGTGGTGCTTTGCTTCCTGTGGAGTCACAGGGGTCACGAAAAGGTAGCTTCACGAAAAAGCTTTCAATTAAATAACATTGGAAATTGAGTTTGCTTGGAATTTTTCATGGAATTGTTAGATGTTAGAATTTCCATTTCTCAACGGCTTCTTGTCCACACTGACTCAAGAACTGAGGGTCAAGGTTGATTTTTGACCGTGGAAACAGCAGTTCAAAAAAAAAAAAAAACAGTTCTATAGCTTTCAATCATATCCCATGATCTTTGTCACTTTGCCTCAGAATGTATAAAAGCTCCGTAAAGCGCTCAAGAAAAAAAATTTGAACATGTCGAATTCATCAACTGGGGAAATCTGTGGATCTGTGATGAAGATCTGATGATATGTGATTGTTTTCTCAGCTGCTGTTTCCGAGATCAAAAATCAACTTTGAATATCAACTCTATTTACTTTCTTATAAAGGAGCTCAGCTGCATTTCCCAAAAACCACTGGTCTGTCAAGTAGTGTGACCTCAGTCTCACCACGAGGTCTGCTTAACACTCCTTTCACTGAGACTGTTTTTGGTAATTAGTATTTTCAAAGTCCAGACTGAACATTGAAGCAGAGTTTTAAAAAATCTTTTTCAGTTGTCTGGAGGTGTTTGAGAAATATAATATATAATCCACCATACATATATAGTGTATATGTATGTGTTTGTAAATACATACTGTGTATATATATATATATATATATATAGCAGGGAAGAACACATAATATTTTAGTGTGGATCTGGTTATCTGGTTGTATGTTTCCTCAACATTAAATCAGGAATCTCTTGACACTTAAATATTTTGCCTTCGCAAAGTTATTATAGTTATTATATTTGTTCATTAGTGTGTGTGTGTGTGTGTGTGTGTGTGTGTGTGTGTGTGTGTGTGTGTGTGTGTGTGTGTGTGTGTGTGTGTGTGTGTGTGTGTGTGCGCGAGCGCGCGCGCGTGTGTGTGTGTGTGCGTGTGTTTGGTTTTGTTTGTTTGTTTGTTTTTGGGTGGTATGTGTATGTATGTAATAAGAAATGTATTGTTATATTGTTTTATTTTCTATCAATAAAATAACAAATCAAGTAGTGTTCATAACATATGGACTACTTTTTGTAGGAAATCCCACAATGTAATATTAACATCTATGTGACATGACATGTGTCAGGAGGAGTTCAGTCACCCTGTGGAGAGTCTCGCCTTAACAGTGGATGAGGTCATCAATGTGCGCCGGGTGCTTGTCAAAGCAGAGATGGAGAAGTTTCTTCAGAGCAAAGAGCTCTACAACAACCTGAAGAGAGGCAAGGTAACGGAGGAACTTCCCTCACCTCTGTTTCTCACTGTCATGTTTACAAACTCAGTAACTCTGTGTGTGTGTGTGTGTGTGTGTGTGTGTGTGTGTGTCTGTCTGTCTGTCTGTCTGTCTGTCTGTCTGTCTCAGGTTTGCTGCTGCTGCAGAGTGAAGTTCCCTCTCTTCTCGTGGCCATCTACCTGCTTACTGTGTAAAAGGTATCACAGAAAACTTTCTGTTCACCTTCATTTTTAATGATTTCACCACGTTTCCAATTCTCAGCAATGCCACCAATAGGAATGAATGCTAAAACCCAAGTTATAATAAAACAAAATGACTCTGGCTCTTTAAGTAGTACAGTAAAAACTGCACCAACAGTAACACGTCTCCAGCCCACACACTTAAGCTATGGTAGCCTAAAATTCACATAGGACATATTTCAATAACTTTGATAATGGCATACCCAATTTAATTATAATTAATACTGATCAACAGCCAAATTAAAAGATCTGTCATGATATTTTTATGATATAATCTAGCGAGCATCTCCCTTCCTACCCATTTCACATTCAGGAATACAGTTGCATTGAGTAATTTGTGTTTCCTTTACAGATCCGTCTGTGTCTCCTGCAGTGCAAAGGTAAAAGTAAAAAAAACTGTGCATGTGTTCAGTTCAGCTCACAGTTTGATTCTGTGATTATTTGGCTTCGTTACACATCAAAACTGAGTACACCCAGATGTTAAATCACTAAAATGTTAAATGATTCAAAACTGTGTCGTCTAACAATAATTGTATTATTTTTTAGTTGAAGTGAAGTATTAGTTGTATTAGTTAATTTAAGTAATTGACTTTATGTATTATTAAAATGAATAGATTAGACTATATTTAAAATACAGGCCCCAGAATACAGAATACTTTGGTCAGATGAAACCAAAATAAATGAGTTTGGATCAGATGCGGTCTAGCAGGTTTGATGTTGAGCTGCTCAGGACCACCACAGTGACTGCAAAGTGCAGACTGTGAAACAGGGGGGGGTAGGAGTGTGTACTTAAAAACTACACTATGAATGCAAGTGTAGATATAATACTGACCGAAAAGATAACTCCCAGTTTCAAAAAGGTTGGCAGGACACACTGCGAAAAAATCACAGAGGAGTTTTTAAATAAGAAAGAAGTGAAGACCAGGCCACGCATGGCCCCTGACTTCAATCCCGCAGGTGGGATCATCAAGCCACAGGATTGAAAAATAAAGGCAGACATAAAAATGATTTGTCAAACATTCATTTTTCAGATTAACTGGCTTCATTCTTGAGCTTTGGCTTAAAACAAATAAAATGCTATTATATGTACAGGATGTGTGATTGCTTAATATTCTAGTGACACTCAGCAGGGCTGTACTCAGGTTTGTTGTACACTGTATATATTGTTTTGTAAAGCAGTACACAGAGTTGATTTAAACAGGATATTTCACCACTTTAACATATGTTTTCAGTTTGTCAAGTCTAGTGAAGTGGCTGGTATTTCTGTTGACATCAGTTCTTCTGTTGTTCTTTTGTTGGTTTTAATTAGTCGCCTCAGTCCCTGGCCATGTTGGATGTGTGGGTCTGTGCTCTGTAGGTTTGACATTTAGGCTGTTTGGACTTTCTGTTTTTTGTGATTCTAAATGATGTGTGTCGTGTGGTTGTTTGTTGGAGTGCCGTGACTCGTTTGTGCTGTTTAACATTATTGTGGTTTGTCTTTATTGAAATATATGTTAATTTGTGGCTGTGTCCTTAGTGTTTGTGTGTTTGAAGCTATTGGTTGTACTTGGAGACTCGATAAATACTTATATGAAAGCGTTTTGCCTTCAAGTGCGCTGTGTCCCATCACAACACACTGCCGCATTCTGCTCTCATCTCTGTCTCACTGTCTTCTTCTTGTTGTGGCTCCAGATGAAGATTCCCTCAAAGAAGATGGCCCATATTCCTGTGTACACTGTGGGTTTCCACAGCACTCCAAAGAGCCATGGACACAAAAGCCAAGTCTATAAGTGAGTCTGCGTTTGTCTGTAAGGCCACCAGAAAGACAGTCAGACCCTGTGATGAATAGTTTAGAAAATGATGAAACCTGACCCAGAATTAGATATTTGTACACAAAAGCCCTTGAGCCAACAAAGTGTTTATAATACTGGGTAAAAGGCAAGGACAGAAATATGTTTTACAATTAAGAGCAATAAGATTATGAGCGATTTCTGCCTAGTGGTCAGAGCGGTTTAAAGATCATTTTATCACTCAGTCCGCGCATCCAACCCTCCCCCTGCCCCATACAGGCACATGATGAATCTGAGGGGTTGCAAGTAAACAGAATTGGAAAGTGGAAAAAATGAATTTTTTTGCACAAAATAATTTTTTTTTTTTCTAACTTTTTTCTAATTGATGCTTTCGCTCATGAATTACTTGGGTAATTTTACATCCCAAAGCCCCTAAAGAAATGTTTCAATTAAACGATCTGAGATGTTTGTGTTTAAACACCCTGTGACAAATGCATCCTGTGGAGAGTGGTCACAAGTAGACTAAGACTTACAACCCAACGGTCAGATTGCTGTGAGGTTTATTAATCACATTGGTACTCGTCCGAGGATACACCGTTTCCATTTGGAATCTCCATTCGTCCAAAATGGTGCCACCTTTGTTCAAATTTCAATTTCTTTAGACATCATGTCTCATAATCTGAGATTAGACAAATTATCTTGAAATTTGTACATTCATGCACCCAAAGGGAAACATCTTTTGATTCCTGTGAACTTCCTTTCAGTGCCACCGTCATGACTTTACATTTTTAGCCCTAAAACTGGTAAAACTGGTAAAGGCTATACCAATCATTTAGCTCAATCCACTGCTGTGACTAATGTTAGCATGCTAACAGTGACAATGCTAACATGCAGATTTTGTAGCAAGAGTAATGTTCAAAAATTAGCACTCAACAATGTACAGCTGAGGATGATGGGAATTCAGTAGTTTTGCAGATATTTAGTCACAGACAAAAGTTTGGACAAATTAAATTTTTGACCTGATGATGGTGCTGGATAAAAAGTCAGAGGATCAGCGAGGTTATTATAGTTCAGGCTGAGTGGGAACATGAATGTGTGTTTTAAACGTCATGGCAAACCATCCAACAGCTGTCAAGATATTTCACAATCAAAGGAGGAGGAAAAGGCTTCATCCTTTTAGGACCATGAACAATCTGCTGCTGAGGGATTTCAGTGTGGACCAGAGTGGTAGATTTACAGACCAACATTGTTATTCCTAGAACCACTAGTGTGACCAAAATCAATAATAAATGAGTAAATGAAGTAAATAAATGAGTAATAATAAATAATAACCAATAATCTGTGCAATATTTGAATACGGTAAGATTGTATTAATATTGCAGCCTTCAGCCTTGTATCAGGGCTCTGTCACTTATTCTATATGTGAATATTTACTGACACTGAGGAAGCTATTTATGAACTCATTTACCTTTGTGTGTTATTTCCAAAGTTCACTCAAGATTAAGTTGACCTGACCTTTCAACTAATCACTGCCCTTGTTCAGGTCAAGGACAAATACCCCCCCCCCCCCCCCCAGGTTAAGAACAGGTTAAATCTGTCTAAATCTGCCCCTCCCTCAAGCCACTGACTGCTAACCTTCTCCAGCCTAAGCAGAAAGAGCCTCTGTGTTTACCTCAACCAATCGCAGATTGCCTACTCAATCCAATCACCAGTGTCCACCCCCCCTCACCCCACCCCACCCCCACCTACCGCACTGGTGTTATATAATCAGTGTAGCGCCATGGCCTCTAAGCAGCCATTATGTAATAATTACCCAGCTGTCATTAATATCCTCACTCCTTGTGCCTGTGTGAAGACAGACGTGGAAGAGAGAGTGAGAAATGGATGGAAAGAAAGATGGAGCGAGAGAGCTAGACACTGAGTTGGGGGGAGAGAGAGGGAGTGTGCTAGCATGGTGTTATGCTGATCCGCTAACACCTGTCATTAATAGCTGCCACTATAAGGACAGAAATAGTAGGTTTTATAACAGCAAATGTTAGTGTTATTTTAATCAGAGAAGTCAGCCTTAATCTTCCTGTTGGTGGCCGTGCTGGTCCCACTCCCCCATCACATGTCTGTTGATTTGTTTGTTATACAGTTTATCGTGTTGGGTTTATATTTCATTCACTGTAAATGAGCTTAGAAAGTCTGGCTTTATATTTGCTGATTTACTGTGAGAGATGAGACACAGTACATCTCTTCAGTCGATATTCATCCATTTGAATTCCATGTTAAAGTCCTGCCACAGTAAAGATATGAACCTATAAGTGACACAGTTAAATCAGTGAACAGGACAAAATAATACATGAGGAAGAAATTACAGAGCGGCTGTTTTTAACATGTTATTTCTATTGTTTTTTTCTGGTGACTCAGCAGTGCCACTGTATATAACAACAATAAAGAAAAAAATTAAATAAAGTCTAAATCTCCTGCTGGTGCTAATCATGATCTGAGAGCCACACGATCTGTGTATATATATATATAAAGTTAGCTTCCCTGGCGTTGGACTCTGGTTCTACGCTCCCTCAGAGGTTAACATTATTGGTTATCAACTTGTTTGAAATCATCTAATGTTTCTCTTTTAAAGGCAGCCATTAAATCTTCCCTGCCTGGTCAACACGGGTCTTTCAAACTTTACACACCTAAGTGAAAAATGATTAGTCTGTAAGGCCAAGCCCCATTAACTCTGCTGACATCACGCTGGCTATTTTCTCAGACAGAGCCTGCTGACTGAGATCTCTGCTTTGAGGTTTCCCTTCTTAATATATGAAATATAAACCTGTCTGATCCTCCCTGTATCTCTGCAGGTCCCTGCGCAGTTTGTCCCGCCGCTCAGTGGAGGAGGAGTTCCCCCACCTGTACGCTCACGGCTGCACACTGCGAGACGTCTGTGCTGAATGCACCAAATTCGTTGCCGATGTCATTTCCTCCAGCCGCCGGAGTCTGGACATCCTCAACAACACTCCCAAGAGGGAAGCCAAAGCTGCCGCCGCTGCTCAGAGACCACAGCTGCAACGTCAGTCCCACCTCGACATTTGCTCGCAACCAAGCCCTCCCCAACCTCACCGTCAGCGTCACCCTCCACCTTACCCACAGTCACAGTGTCACCCCCAGCTCCCTCCCCACTTCCATCATCAACAGCAGCAACTCCACGCATCGGTGACACCTTCTTCGCCGCAGCTCCTCACCAAGGTGATCAACAATGTGAACCAATGAGTAGATTGACACTTTCTGCCTTTCTGCCTACACACACACTCCTTAATGAATTGTGCTGCTGCACCACACTGCACACACACGCACGCACACACACACACATGTACAGAAAAAGTAGTGGTCTTCAAGGGGTTCTAGTAGTTACATGCAAAGCAGTAATGACCTCAAAGAGCCATCTGATTGGTTCACATGAATAAAAAATAATAAATGAGAATACATAATCCAGTGAGGATCCTTCAGAGTTCTTTAAGTATTGCTGGGTTGGAGTATTACATGCATTATTGAATGGTTATGCTATGATATGATATACTGTATAAAACTAAAGAAGATTTTTCTGGAGCTGTATAGATCCCTTTTTAGTGAGAATCTAGCGACTGTAAACCACAACCACCTCACGCATCATCCAGTCCCCAACAACATTATCTTCCCTGTCTCACCATCTCACTCACACACACATGCACAGAGCCCCCTATTCACTTCATAGGGTTTCAATAAGAAGCAGTTGTGTCTGTATCTGCCTTATCTACAGCATCATGACTTCACTCCCTGAAGCTCACGGCTGCTGGGAGGCAAGCATTTTGGGGGAGAGGGCAGATGAGGAAAGTACTGGTGGTGGTGGTGGTGGTGGTGTTGGGGGGGGGGGTGTACACTGTGAGAGAGAAGGTGGAGGTGAGTTTGATGGGGATAAAAGCTGCCCAGCATTTAGTCAACATGTAACCGTACCATTTTAGCTCTTGTGGTTGCCTTGTTTTTGTCATGAATGTAACTTAGAATCAGAACAGAAACAGAATTGTAAAACAATAAGCTCGCACACAGCATAATGACTTTTATTTTTAATCATCCAAAAAAGGATTTGTAACGAGCGGCTGCTGTTTAACTTTTGCATTTTAAACATGCTTTTGAAGTCCCAGGTCCAGCTGGATGAGGTATGATAGTGATGACACTGTGAATGTAATGGGGTGAAGCTGCAGACTGCTGCGTCTTTAACTGATACAGCTCGATGATGCTGATGTGAAGCGAGCAGATGAAACTCCCGTCTCTCTCACTCCCCATGGACGCTTGCAATCTGCTCTGGTTTTGTAAACACTAAGTAAACCTCAACTGCAATAAAATCTACTGACAAACACGACCAGTGCTGCATCTATGGGTTTTACTCCTCACCTGCGTTCACCTGTGTTCAGCTGCATCTGTGCCACATAACGGCTTCAGTGGTCATAGAGCTGCACTTCATTAATAAATGGAACATAATGTTGTTTATTTCAATGAAAGGATTTTTTTTCATGCCTGCGCGCCGGAGACGGTCAGAGCCAGAGGCATATTGTTTTGAGGAGCATGTCCCGGTCTCGTAGACATGATATCTCAGTTACGCCTTGATGCAACTTCTTCAAATTTGGCACAAATGTTCACTCAGATTCAAGAATGAACTGATTAGATTTTGGTGGTCAAAGGTCAACGGTTAAGGTCAGCGTGACCTCACGAAACACTTTTAACCATTTAGACTTCACACAGCAATTATGACAAAATTTCACACAAATGCTTCATATTTTCTGTGACTCTGGATAAACAGAGATGTAACCTGAAACTCGTCTGAGTGGAGGAGGCAGACGACCACGAGGAGGTGATTCTAGTTTTTTCAAATATGGAAAAGTAATAACAGATAAACAGGCTGATTTTTTAATTTTCTTTTATCACAGAACAGACTCGTGATCAAAAATCCCTGAGTAAGAGAATATCATTTAAAAATGAGGTTACAGACATCTGCTTTGACAAGATTTATGAATGTCAATTTTTCAAAATGTATGACGCACTTGTGTGTTAAATCTTGGTCCCCTGACAACAGGTCGTTTGCCTGGAGCCTCTGCCCCCAACCATCTAAAATTTAAGTCACGTTCCATCTTTCCAGACCTCCTGAATCATTCAGATTCCAGCTTTCTGGTTCAGGACTTTATTACACAACCATACTCATTCAGGCAGGTGGAGGCTTCCGGCTAAAAATGTGGAGCATTTCACTGTTGCTGTGGGATTCACCAGTTACAGAAATACGTTTTTTTTTTTTCTCAGAGGAAGGTGAGAGGGTCAGCGCCTCTCTAGTGCCTGTACGTCAAGAGAACCAGGAGGCATCTACAACTGAGCTCAACACAAAGACAGGAAGGAGCAAACATGGCTGCCTCCAGAGTTCAAACATCTGCCCTGGAAGAAGCAAAATTTCATTCAAGCTTTAACCACAACATGTAAAATACAATATATTGTTTTTATTTGTTTTATTTTATTTTGGTAACTACTTTAGTTACATTATGGTGGCTAGTTTATCCTATCTCGTTGTTTCTTTTGCTGTCAACCTGAGGGTAGCTAGATGTGCCTGCCTGCCATGACGATATTAAAACAAGCTAACTACAGTTTATAACAGGACAGCAGCCATGTGGGGGAATCAAACCGTGGAACAGCTGTTAAAATCGCAAACAGCTGACTGAAATTTCTGACCTGAAAGAAACCCATGCAGTTGTCTGACAGCCAGATCACTGATGGTTGATCGCTCCTCAGACAGCTACTCATCTGCTAATTCTGGGTTAAAATAATCTTAATCCATACATTGCGTGGTTTAAAGATTAACACCTTGTCTCTCATTTGTTTAATCCATACACAAACAGAAATATGAAAAAGACAGTATGGGGTTTTATGAGGAGGTTATGTTGTGGTGTTCATTAGTAGGAGTCTTTTTGAACTTTGGCTAGAGCCAGGCTAGCTGTTTCCCCTGCTCCCAGTGTTAATGCTAAGATAAGGTGATTGCCTCCATATTTAACATGCAGACATGAGAGGGGTGTTCATCTTCTCATTTGCCACAAAACAAAAAAAAAGCATGTTTTCCAAAATGTTGAACTTCACTTAATGAGCTGTAAAGCCCTTTTCATTTAGTTTCTTACATCTGGGATTATGAGGTTTTCTATTACTCAGCTGAACACGTTAGTTTACACAGGATGGGTTTCTCTTCTTTATTTTTGTGCCATAAGAAGGACATAAGTCATGTTCAGATAATTACAGAGTGGCCAGTTTATTGGCTCCACCAAGCTAAAACTGATGCAGTCTAACACAGCAGCCCTGAAGTAAATCCAACCTTCATAAAGGTTCTCATGTTCAGGTTTTGTTGAAACTTTTAGAGAGATGTTGATTCATATGTATGATCATTGTATAGATTTATATTGATACTGTAGATGTTTCATTGCTGCCAGTCTCACGCAGCACTTTATCTGTGTGTGTGTAGAAAGAGCTGCTCCAGCATGCAGGTTGCAGCACTTGAGCTCTTTTCATGGAAAATGTATGAAGGTTAAATTGACCATTTGAAATGCTGAGGGATGTGATTCTGCCTCAGCTCTGCTGGTGGTGAAGAACAAAGGCACATGAGGCGAGAACCCATGTTGTGACTCCACTGGAGATTGAGTCTGTGATGGATGGATGGATGGATGGATGGATGGATAGATGGATGGATGGATGGATGGATGGATGGATGGATGGATGGATGGTGTTTTACTGTGCCCCAGATTTCACTGCTGAATGACACCTGGTGACCACGTGACCATCTACATGAGGCCACATCAAAAAAAAAAAAAAAATCTGAATAAAACGTATTAAATACAAGAACTTTCCCACTAATGTATCAGCATTAAGAACTATGTTACACTGTCCAGCCACCTGTAAATTGAAGAAGTTATTTGTCAGCATTAGGTCACAGAGGAGATGGGTAAATAATTTTAATATTAATTTCATTGTGATCATAAGGAAATTATTTTATGAGCTCAGGAAAATAATGTTCACAGATGACATCATTAATGTTTTCTTGTTTCATATTACTTTATTTTGTAATCACAGGAAAACAAAGCATAACAGTCTCACTTTTCCTCTGATGATTTAATTATTGGTCTGTGACCCTGATAAATTGATTTTGACAACTTATAAATGAAGAGTAAACTATTTTCTAAAGATGTCACTGATTAGCTTCAGATTACGGGTGATGCAAAAGAGCAGTTGTGGTGACACTGAAATCCTCCACAATATGAAAACAAAGTTAACAGTAGGCAGCAGCACAGTCCAATAATAAGAGCCACCACAGTGAGTGAACTTAAGAAGGCTTTGTCCCCATGCACTCGGGGGATCTGTAATGGACGCCCCGCCTGTTTCATCATGAATAAATAATCTACAGGTCTACATGTCTATTGGCTGTTGACTGTCTGTCATCCGGCTCTGAGTTCACTCTTCAGACAGACAGGCTGCACGAAGCCACCCTGAGTTAGAGAGCATGAAAACGGAAGTTGGGTGATTTTGCTTCCAAAATAAAAGTATAAACCTATCAAACGTTTGTTAACGTGTATTCATTACCATTTTAACGCTTCTTATGTAGACTTTAAGGTCCACTTGTGATCACTCTGTGTTGCTCTCTTTTGGATCCACATAATTGAAGCCTAAGATATTGTATGGTATAGCTCATACAGCATTTTGGTGTTGTTTCGTTAATCTCTTATTTTATTAGACATTAAGATAAGGTAAGGTAAGGTAAGATAAACTAAGATAACATAAGGTAAAATAAGATAAGATAAGATAAGATAAGGTAAAATAAGATAAGATAAGATAAGATAAGATAAGATGTACCTTTATTGATCCCTCATAAAGAAAATTCAAATTCGACACAGCAGCACACAGGAATAGCAGTTCAAGGGGAAAATGTAAGGAGAAATAAAATAAGAATAGAAACAGAATCTAAAGATGAAATACTGTTGAAGTACTATATACAATAACAATATACAATATACACATGTAATTAATAACAGCAGTTCTTTATCTGTGCTCTTTCCTCTCAGCCTGTGTTTTGTGCAGCTGAAACACATGAATTCCCTCCCTGAAAACCAAAAATCTTAACTGATCTTTTCTCAGACTGTACTATTTTATCATTTTTATTTTGTGAAAACCTGGGAGACTGATGCATCTCAACCCTGCCTTTTGACTCTCTGACTTTTTGTAACGTGAGCCCATGTAGCATGCAGACAAAGAACAGATAATTACATTGATTACAGTTAAATCCCACTCATAGCACCTCTACATAGAATGACATTAATTGGTTTCCTTCACAAACCACCAATCTAAATGCCTCAAAGAACATCAGTGTATCCAGGATTTTTTTCACCAGATGTTGGCAGATGTTTTTGTTTGGGTCGTTTCTCGATTATTCATTCATTCATTCATTCAGTCCCAAAACAGATTCAACTAAGCAAAGATTTATTTATACAGCACATTTCATTCCAGATGGAAGCACAATGTGCTGCACAAAACTCAAACAAAAAAGTTATCAAGGAAGTTGCAACCACAAAAACTATGTGATAGTGTAAAGATAAAACGTTCGACACATAAATGATACAAATGAAGTCAAACCTTTAGAAAAATAAAATAATTAAGACCAACAACCGATCAGTATGTAAATTAAAACAATTAAAAGGTAGGAATAACATTTCGTGTTCTTATGTCTTTTATTTTGAAAGATTTGAGGGGCTGTTCTCTTGTGGTGTTCTCGCTGACTTTACAGTGGAAGTCGGGCAGCTTTAGAGTCTGAACTCAACAACAAGCCCTCTCAGGCTGGCCCATCACAGCCAGTTGTTCTTTTCTTTTTCCTTTCCCTCCTTTCAGGACTGCTGTTTTCTCTCCCCCTCTCCCTGCAGTCAGTGTGAGTGGGTGTGTCGATGTGGGCCGGTGTAGCCTAGTCGCTGCTTGTGCGCACTCTGAAAAGAGGAAAAAGTTGATGATGAGTTTAGTGTGAGAGCGGCCCGCCTCTGAGCAGGCTAACCGTCCAGGAATGGCAGTTTGGACCAGAGCGGACAAAAACGGTCAACTGGACCTTTTGCTCCGCGACCGCTGGATCCGTGTGGCCGCAGAACTCACCCGCGAAACGCTGACTTTAACGGCCGAAGCGGAGGTAACCGGACAGGGGGGCAATCACTGGGACTACAACAACTCTTCGGCGGGCCTGCGAAATGGCATGTCGAACGGAAACGACCCGGGAACGAGTCCGGGGAACCCTGGCCGCGGTCCGTCCTCTGGTCAAGACCAACTTCAGAGCCAGAACCACGGGGGTCGGGGGCGTAGTTCCAGCCCGGGGCGCGGAGTTGTCAACCGGGGTCAATACGACGTCAACTATGGTCTAAACAGCCCTGGGAAGTACCCGAATAACGGCACAAACTCAGACTTTGGAAGTCCCAGCTCGAGCTACGGCAGTCCTGGGTCCAGCTTCGGGTCGAGACAGGGTGACTTCCCCGTTAATCTAGACGGTTCCTCGGAAGCTGTGCGGAAAGTCCGAGTTGTCAAACAGGAGTCTGGCGGGCTGGGGATCAGTATAAAGGGGGGGCGCGAGAACCGGATGCCCATCCTCATCTCCAAGATCTTCCCGGGCCTCGCCGCCGACCAGAGCCGGGCTCTCCGGGTGGGCGACGCGATCCTGTCGGTGAACGGGAACGACCTCCGGGAAGCAACACACGACCTCGCGGTCCAGGCGCTGAAGAAGGCAGGGAAAGAAGTGACGCTTGAGGGTAAGTTGGCCAACGCGAGAGCGGGGATTTGCAAAGGCCGAGATTAGACTCCTGTGGTGTGGGTGCACACCTCTGTGCATTAGCCCGTTTTACATGGATGTCACTTTGGTTAGAGGAGGTGTGGCGCTTCTTATAACATAAAATGAATTTGCAGTAGATTTTCATACAGAGACTAAAACATAAATTAGTTTTAAACCATGTCACATGTTTACACAGTTTAAGTGGCACAGTATATTAAACACAAGAATAGCTTTAGGTTTATTCTATGTGACTGCATGACCTTGTTATTCACCAGGACAGCACTTTTATTTTTGAATCAAGGACAGCAGGATACACACTACCACCACGGAAGTTTGGTGAACTTTGCAGATCCTCCACACATGTTCTGTGGGTTGTAACTTTCACCACACAAATAATTATTTCTGTAACAATAATACAACAATTATGATACAACTGCAGACACACTGGCATAAACAAACAGAGTGCTAGTTGATCTATGGCCAGAGGAGGAGGAGGAGCGGGGCTTAAATGATATCAACAGAACAGAGAGCCTTTGATTAGTGTAAACAGGAAAGTAACCACAGTTGTGGTCACAGTCAAGAGTCAGATACATTGTTAGATACTCTGTGTATTTGAATCACTGTGGGTTGCTAAAGATAAGAGGCCACTGTTAACATGAGAAGATGAGATTTGTTTCCGTGTGACTGCAGTGACACTGACCAGGAGAGAGAAAGAGGAAAACATGTAAATGATCTGTGGAGTTACGAGCATTTTAGAGAAGAATATAACCAATTACATCTAATCAAATCAGAAACTTTAAAGCAGAAGTGTATCAAAGCACAACTGCAATGGAACATACAGAACAAGGATATGAAACAAAACACCATATGATACATGAACTGTGTCAGTTACTGTATGTAAAAAGATAAAAGTTAGGCTAGGGTCATACATTTTTACTCACTGCATTTGAAGCGTTTTTAGATTTATCCTGGTTTGATAGATTTTTTTTTGTCTACTGAACATTTACTGTATGGTTCAGACTTGGAGCTGTTTCATTAATCCACACTATCTCACCTGTGCCTGCACAGCACTAAATGGCAGACAGTCTCAGATAGTGACTATTAGAGCTGCACAATTTATCGAAATATAATCAAAATCACAATATGACCAAGTCCCAAATCGGAGGAGCTGCAATTTTTTTGATAAAGGTAAAATGTGCCACATAGTTGTGCATTGTTAGAACCGTGAGTGTTGTGGTGCTACAGAGATGCCCCGGCCTGCAAATCATATTCTCCAGACGTAAAGGAACACGTTTGTCTGGTACAAGACCAACAATCACATCAACATCATTTTTATATTTTTTTTCAGTGAAAATGAAAATGCAAAAACGACCATTCCAACTGAAATCGCAATCACAATATCTGCCAAAATAATCACAATATGATTTTTTTGCATATTGTGCAGCCCTAGTGACTTCAGCCGCTACAGAGGCAGATAGTGCTGGAGTTGGTGGAGATGAAAGCAGAGCTAAAAGCAGATTGAATATTTTACATTCGTCCTATCTCCACAAACACAAATTCAGATGTTAGTTAATGTAAATTAATAAGCCATATCCATAACTATAATCTGGAATAGTGGCTATGATCTATTAGCCAGTTAGCCAACATTGATCATTCCAGTTCAATAAACCGCATTTATTCAATTACAAAACACCAGCTGGTATCATCTGATATTGGAAATAGGCTATTGCTCCACACGCAAGGTCTGCTGAAGGTTTCTAGGTGTGCAGACATGCATCCCACAGAACTATCCACATATCAACAAGATTAGGTCATAACGTAGTATATGGCTGGACTGTGTGTGGTCAATGAACCGCTTTCAATGGAAAGCTATTAAAAACCTGCTGGAAGAGTCGCTAAATGTCACTAGATGACGCTAACTAGCATGTTCATGGTGTCATCGTGTTGTATTTGCATTCAGTTTAGTGTCAGCTGGTTTTAGCTCTTGATCTGTTTGCTTCTCTCCTCTCTGTGCTCACATATACAGTATTTAAATACAGCTTTTTCACAATAAAGCTGCTCTCGTTGACCTGTTTTTCTGTTTCTGTTGTCAAACAACGGGACAAGTTTGAAACTGACTGAAACCCAGCCCATTAATACTACATGTTCTGCTACTCTGCTGTTGCTAAAATCCCGGTTTTATAACCACAATGTCGCCTGACAACATCACCAAACACATAAGTTAAAGATAAAGACTGAGCTGTGATTTTTGGCTATATTTACATGTAAATGAGATAAAGTGAGGTATAGAGGAAGGAATAGAGAGGTGTGCCTGTGGAGGGAACGTCCAACCTTGCGACTGTGGGCCAATACTGGAGACTCCCTTTTATGGAAAGTAGCTAAGGTTTGTCCATAAATTAGCTGGATTTGTTGCTAGGTGCTCTTTAAAACAAAAAAAAAAGTCACTGAAGGGGCCTGAAAAGTCGGTAAATCTAGCGACAAAGGCGCCAAGTTGGCAACACTGCCTGTAAACTTGCCAAAAATGCACCAGATCATTTTGAAAGAGTTATGGCCACTGGGGAAACTCCAACACTTGGCCAGCTCATCACTGGTGTAACTTCCATCACTCAGTCAGGTGCAGTGCAGCCAAAAAGCCTGGAAAAAGCTTGAAAGCTTGCTAAACTTCAGATGGAAGAACCTGCCTCATACAAAGTAAAACATACCTGTTGTAGATGGCGGTAGCATGCTGTAAGTAGAGAGATGTGTTAGTCAGGAGATACTTAGTGGCTCATTATGGGGCTGAGCAGAGCTCCATGGAGAGTTCCGATATTAACTGCGCTAATGTTGAACTGTTTAATGGTTAGAAAAGTGGAAAAAGAGTGAATTGGGGGGAGAGAGGCCACAGAGCCCTCGGGGTCTGGAAACTTCAAGCCAAATGCAGTGTTTAATGGTTTGGAATGAACGCCGGACGAATACTGAAGAGCACAAATTGTAGGAACTAATCAATGTGTGACACATTTCCACTCAAGTCAAAATGAGGCCTGTTTTGTACCTCCCAAAATAAACCAAGGTAGAACGTGACAGACTCTTTTAAGTCATCCACTGTGCTGATTAAATCAAACCGAAACCCAGAGGCTCAGTGTAAAAATGCTATCAACATCAGTTTTCCCTAATAATAAATGATCCAAAATATTGTGTTGTTACACTCAGTTACTGGTTTTTCAGCTGGTTGATGAAGATCTCTTAAGTTGACAAATGAAACAGATTGAAACACAGTGGAAGTGCTTGTATCATTTTAAAACCCCTGGTTGAGTTTGGCCTACTGCAAGTGACATCAGTGTAAAAATCTTCTCCAGCAGCCCTCAGACACAGACAGGAGGATGTGCCGTCTCCTGCTGCCACAGCCGCAGTCCAGACATCGGCCTCTGTGTGGAAGAATGTATCAGCTGCTTGTCACTGTTTGTCAGTTTGACGGGCAGTGAGCTGTGTTGTTTGTGGACCGGCTCTTCCTCCCCAGTTCCCCTCTGTCTCTGCTTGGCTCCCACTGTTCTGAGAAAGAAACGGCAGTCAGTGAGAACGAGGCTTGATTTTCCAGACTGCTGTGCCGTGTACACAATACATAAACCCCCAGATATTCTCACAATTAGCCTAGGCGCCCCACATTCCTGACCTCCGCTTGCATGTGTGTATTTAGGGCAAAGGTCAACACCTCTGCGGCTCCATGATTCGTGCTGCGCCACGGTTTTATTGCTGGTGCTGCATAAAGGAGGAGAGAGTAAAGCAGCACATCATAGACTGTGATGGATGTAATAGAGGTGTACAGTTCTGTTTCTTAACGAGCCTTGTGACCAAACCATTAGATTATTAGAAGCATATTGCCTGAATGGGTTTGCAATCTAATTTTGGCCCAGTCATTCTATACATGGCTGTAGATATCCAGCATAAGCACTTGAATGAAACTTCTGCCTGAGCCCTGAGATCATTTGTCTATTTTACACTGCAAATCAAGTTATCGGTCTCAATCATGTGTTGTTTTCTCAGCACAAAGGAAAATTCTACAAAGTCACTTTGTCTTATTTTAGTATGATTCAATCTGCTTTTCCAAGAGAGATAATCTTGTCAATCAACATTTGCACTAGATTATTAAACTTGTTTCCAGTTGTCATGATTATCATAATAAACACATGGACTGTACCGACAGCTGCCTTCCTACCTTTGTCGCCATGGTTACTATAATAATGGTCATGGCTTGGGTAGGTTTAGGGAAAGATCATGATTTGGGTTAAAATAAGTACTTCCTTAACATTACATGGTCTTTGTTGTCATGGTTACAATATAAACAGCTAGTTTCACATGGGAATCGAACATCGCTCTCCTGTGTCATATTCATCCATCCACCACAACCTCCTCCTGACGTGGACTTTGTCTCTCTTTATACTACGTCACCACACTTTTCCCTTTGCTCCTGTCATCATTACTACGACCACTAGATGTCACCTAGCAACAAAATGTAACTATGGGTCATAATAACCTGCTGCACAGACGACCTGTGGGCTCGGTTTTTACAGGACAGAATATCTGATACATCTGTGAAAATAAACTAAATGTTTCAGCTGCACTAATCAATATGTTCGTTTTAACAATGGATCAAGTGACTGTGTAATAGCATCTGTCAGCTCATTGTTTTGGTTTTCTGCCCCAAAACAAGATTATTTTCAGTAAAAGCAGGCAAAAAACCTCTGACACAGGTTAGAGTCCCGCTGGTAAACATGGTGTTTATTTTTTGTCTTTTTTTTTAAAGGAGCTAAATGTAAGTTTTGCTATTGCTACTTAGCTAATGTTAGCATTAACAGATGTTTACTTACCAGTCTAGAAGAAACGTTGCAAGTTCAGCATCAAACTTCATTCCTTTACTCACCAACAGCTGTCTCCAGAGGTGGACAGTTACACTTGTCTCTATCATGTCTTTTCTTCTACTGAAGTTAGCATGCTAAAAAGCTA